GGTGTTTGACTTCAGAAAAATTGAAGTAGGCGTCATAGACAACCAAATAACTCTTTCCAGCATGTTGACAAAAATCTGCACCAACTATGGCCCATGGGAAGTCAGGGACGGTACGCTGGAGAAGAAGCTCGCCAGGTTGCTGATACGCACACCTTTCAATAAGATGGGCAATATCTACAGCCATGCCTGGCCAGTACATCAATTTACGGGCCCTTGATTTGCATATTCCTAAACCACTTTGACCTTGGTGCACTCGTTGCAGCATCTCTTTGCGCATGCTTGCAAGTATGACAACTTTGGTAGCCTTTAGAGCTATGCCGTTGACAACAAAAAGCTTTGCTGTGAAGGGCTTTAGCTGACCCTCTACAGGAATGGAGGACTGGAAACTCCAGATTATGTCTTCAATCGTTGCAGTTATCTTATTTATTTATTTTGCTTTCCGGTGGTTTATTATGGTGAAAACTATTGGACACGATGCCTCAGTAAAGAATATGGCTGGAAGGAAAAGACGTTGTCTTCAAAAAAGAAGAATGCCCACATGACATTTTTTAGCGCTCGACAGATTATTACTTTACAGTGCTCAGTGTAATTCGTATAGCAAGGATAAATTCGAAACTTTATTTGAAGTCATCAGGTGCAAGACTCAACGCGCAGCAGGCCACTGCCACGTTGGGACCATCAAGTCAACCCCACCGCCACATTGTCGACCCTCTGGACTGCCTACAGTTGATCACCGACATTGGGGCTCTCGATAGCGGATATAGCCACTTGTCTTCATTGAATTGGTCAGTGTCCCTCAACGAGGAGCAACACCAAAGCATAAGGTCTAGGCTAGCGAATTCGTAGTAGTACCTGCAAGAGCTATTAGGATAAATGTCGGAATAAACTTTATCCAATGAGCCGGGCTTGCATCCGAACCCGTCTGCAGTAACCTGAAAGTCAAAGCCTGCGCTTTATTTAAATTCTTGCTAGGAAGGGAAAATTTCCTTTTGCCGAGGTATAACTGCTGTGTATTTCGTTATATCTGGTTGAATGATCTGTTCTCGACAACTGCGGGCCAGCGGGGGAGTTTTTCGTGGTCACGGAAAGTGAGGCCTCGCGCTTTAGAGTGGGCCAGCTCGTTAAGGGTTGTGCAGCCTTCCCTGATGAATGCTATGTGAGCGGCGAACCACGTGAGAATATGGGCGATTCATAAGCTGAATCATAATACGGCTACTTGCGTAAAAGTACATTGAATTCAAGGCCATGCTCCGAACCCACACAACATTGCTGCTGACAAGCAAGCGCTCTGCCCTTCATACATAGACCTTCAGGCCATTCCCCTTCTACCTCAGCCCCTATACTTATTCCATACTCGTAAAAATATACTCCAGCAGGATACACGTGCTCTCATTCCACCGTGTGTCTGCTCTCTCACCCCTCACCTTACTAGGGCGGGAGAAGTTGCGCTAAGGAAGCTTCGGGCCGGGGTGGCCCTTACACCAGCCGTTATATCATCGTGGAACTGGTCACATCTACGAGTTGGTGACACGTGTTCATGTAGTCCCACTCGAGCGATGCATGCATATGCACGCCACCTTATATGGACATGTAAAGGGTTGTAGCCAGAACGCTTCCGTTACCTCCTTCAAGTCGGCCTTCGCTGCAGCGACACAGCCAGTTACAATGACCGGATACATGAGAACACATTCCACAAGGCACTATTTCACTTCATGCACAACACCGGCCTAACGGAGCACATTTAGCAAACATACTCAGAAAAATATTATGCCTTAAAGGCAAGTTTTGGTCGCAAATAAAAAAAAGTAGTCTGGGTGATCATGCTTGTTTAGTATTTTTCTAAGCTTTTTTTACACAAGGCTACAACGCTGAAGGCCTGCATGGCTGCCCTGGAGTCACTGAATATATGCTTTTCTTTGTCAACGAGAAGCACCAAGGTAATGCCCACTTGCTCAGCCGCACACAACGACGAGAATCGTACTGAAACGGCGTTAATGGTCGAACCCCTTTGATTGACCGATACTGCTGCAAAACCATTGCTGTTTTTATATTGGGTCACGTTGACCAAGCAGGTTTAACCAGCAACTTCTGTCGCCTAACTTAGGAGCATCACCGCTCTGGCCTTCCTTCTTTCCCCATTGCACTGGCAATGCATATTACGCGGAGCGGGGGATATGGCAATATTGTCTTTTTGCTCTTTCAGAAGGCCCTGGTAGGCGTCTTAAACTTTGTTGGGTGGGGCACCCATCTCAGTGAGGAGTCACCTGCCCACCCTGGTGCCAAAAAGTATGACAATCTGTACCTAACTTGTGCTTCCGCGATCTCTTCTAGGGTATTGTGAATACCCGACTGCAGAAGTCGGTCAGTGCATGCGTAATTTGGTAGTCCGAGTGCGCGGTTGATCCCTCTCCTAATCATGGCATTGAGCTTGTCTCACTCGGTAAACAAATTTTTATTGCGCCTTGGTGTACACTTCCGAACACTTGCTACACATCTAACTTGTGCCGTCAGTCATGATTTCTTTCAGCCATCCGACAATGTAAAAATACTCTGTTGTTACATCTATCTTTTTATTCTTAGTCTAGGCACTTGGTATCAAATGCGAAGCATCTTTTAGCGAAGCAAAGGCATTTTGAGTTTTTTTTCACAATGTTCATATTTACCTTTTTAGCCACCTACGTGCGGGTGCTCTCGTGATCACCCCCTTAGCCTGCTATAGCCCAAAACAGGTTGGGAGACAAAGAGGACTTGATCAATACGGCCGTGTGGTCATGACATGAATAACATAAAAACCCTGTCACGTAATCCCTAAACTCTATCCTCCTGACACCTGTGGCACATACCTGTATACCACGTGTTGTGGTATGTGGCTATGCGCCACGGGTGATTGACTGTTTGTGAGTGCCCAGGAACAGCGAGAACAGACATTGGTAATTGAAACTTTAGAGCCTTAAAAAGAGCCGATAACGACAGCGCAGATGCGACAGAATAAAAATTAGGACCGCAGCAGGAGGCAAACCCATGCATAGTGCAAGGTAGTCACATATTCTGCCGATAGCTTTCTAAGTGTACGTAAGTAGCACTCAGAGAAGTGTAAACCTGGACATCTCAAGGGGACGTCTTGCAGAATGTTTCCGCTGGTAGTTTTGGTTATTTAATATTTCAGTGTTTTGTCCATAAATACATCAACTGTCATGGTTGCTTATTATTGTGATTTTTAATATTCGATTTCTTTACGATAGTTCTTGAATATGGTAGTGATATCTGAGAAAGTTTCATATCTGAATACGTGCAAAAAACAAAAAAAATATATTTGCTAGATACACTCGTAGAACCAAACCGAAACCAACAGCGAAATCTTTCTACCCTTGTATGACCTTCCCGTACTAGGTGTTGTAACGCAACACATGTGCGGAAGCTCCACTCTCGTAAGTCTGGCTTTGGGGCTTGGATAGCCATTCAGGAGTGGTTTCTGTTGTTTCGATTATTTCAGTGCTTTCCATATCTTCCCACTCAGCTTTGTTCTATGTGCGCAGCTCTTCTCACTTACAAGAACGATTACATTTGTCCCATGAGTCAGAAATTGCATATCATAATTGGTATAGCACTACCTAAGTTATCGATTATTGTGTACAGAAACGAAATGATATGAAGATAAACAACAATATTTCACTTATGGCCATACGTGTCTATGATTCGCGTCTTGGTGCTGGCTATCTATGACCATATGTACATGCTACATAAAAAAGTTGTCTACAAGGATCACTTTCGTGTCTTTTTCGACCTTGCACGACCTTCCCGCCGACAGTCAGTATCTGTGTCGCGACTCTCGTTCAAGACGTCTCTATGTTTACAAGCATGTCTTTCCCTATCAAGAATCGGTCAACCATGATTTTTTATAACCTATATCATTAGCGTAATAGCGGAGTTGCCCCATGGCTTCTTGCAAATTGGAAAAAGCGGTCCGGAATTGTGAGTGTGCACGCATGCACCCACATAATTATTTGGTTACGAGGTACGCCATAGTGGCACTTGAGTGTAATCTGGAGCGCGACAAAAAAATGGATGTATATAGACGCGTAACGAGGTTATGGTACTTGCTGTGTTTCCGTCCATGCCAGAGTATAGACGATTTCACGGATGTGTTTTGGGGCCACCCAAATACGCTGTTTACCTTGCTATTTCACCCCTTTAACAAATAAAAGGACTTAACTACGATGAACGTATACTCATTAAAATGATTGGGCATGTGCATTCGATGTTTTCTTAACTTATAAATTCACGTCGTAATATACATAAGTAAAAAAGAAATTTCAGTTTACAACCCAAAATGGCTGCACCCAAATGTCTTACGTAAAATCATCCATATGACAGCAGTGACCAAGTATAAGTAACAAGAGAGCACGCTCAGAAAATAAAATGTTGCTGGGGATGGTTCTTCGCTTTTCCCTCTCGCAACAGTCAGGAGCAAAGTAGTAATACTTTCAGATGCCGAGAAAGGTTCACTGCGCAAGCCAGAGGCGCAAGGTAAAGTTGGTGGTGGTGGAAACTTCGCCGCAGGCAAGTTCAACCTGGCAATCGTAACTCGAAGTTCTTGCACCTAGGCCTCACATGTATTAATAATAGTAATAACAAATAGGTGTTTATATCTCAACACCACGAAATGGTTATGAGGAGCGTTGTTGTGGAGGGATCAGAAAGTTTTGACCGTCAAGGGTTAACATGCACTAACAACGCAGTGTACATAAACCTCTACCATTTAGCCTCCACAAAACTGCGACCGCTGAAGCCGGGATCGAGCACGTGACCTTGGCGGCGTCAATAGCCGATCGCCGCATAACCACTGATTCAGTGGACGCATTTTATGTTATGTTGACAGCAGGGGTACGACACCACGCGTCGACCAGCCCCAAGCTTCTAGAGAAGGTGACGGCTTCAAAGATCGCATTTCTGCTTTTCGGCACGTTAAGGGATAACACGAGTGAACGCTGAACCAGAAATACTGCCATGAATAATAGTTTATTGCTTGTAAGTAAAAATGATAAAATAGTCCAGCACACAAATATGAACGGTCCCGAGCAACGAGGGAAATGTTCAGCTGTTGCTGGGCCTTAGTGAAGAGGGTCTGTGGACCCGCACCGACCAGCTTAGTTGGTCTTGGGTTGAGCCTGCGCTTTGCAAGCCTCAAAAGCTGACTTGATTTCGTCCTCCTCGGTTTTCTGTCAGAAGAACATAAAAGCCATTTGTATTGGGCAATTGCTTATAATTACAGTAAACCACAACTGGAGTTGTGAAGTGCCTTGTCAAAAAGGTTTCTGACAATTAAAAAAATTGTACCTCAACAACTTTTGAAGAAACTATGACTGGTGCTTGTGCATGTGTGCTTGTTCGCATGAGTATTTTATTGTGGATATTAAGCTGCGCTTAAATATTGTCTCTTTGCTAGATGCATTTCGATGCATCTATGCATCTGTTGCTTTGTTCTTGTCTTTATTCGTAAATATTTACACCATAATACCTTCAAAATAGGAGACTTTTTCGAGCTAATGTGAAACCAGTTTTGCGTATTTAGACTGCTCGCTAGTTGTTGCTGGAATCCGGCTAGATTAACCGCGCCTCCTTCCACTTCGAAAAAGTTCCTCTTTAGATTCACCTTCACATTCATTCATATGTGAAACTATATGTCATCGCTGCACATTTTGGTTAACTGAAAATGATTGCAACAGGGATGTAGGGATATGTTTATGCTTGAAAATCCTCTCCTTCTTTCAAGCCCTCTTAAAACTGCACTCAGCACTTACACAAGACTCGTTTAAAGTTCATGCAGTTTTTATTGTGATACAGCCCCAACGTTATGTATATATATTCGTACTCCCAGCCAGCCTAAATTGGCTGATCCCTTCCCCTATAACTACTTCAATGACTCAGACGTATGATACGAGAGCATGTGAGGCGCGAAAATGTTGCTCAATAAAAATTACGGCCTTTGTCAACAAGAATTAAAGTATGCATAGCTTTACCAGTAACAGTTTTATAACGTTGTAGCTTGCTGAGGTATATCTAGGTTTGTTTGATCGTCCTCACAGACAGTTTCTCGTCATTTTCTCACTGAAATGTTCCGAGATTTCAAATAGGGTATGAAATCATCAGAAAAAAAGTACCCATCAAAAAAAAGTACAATACATTAAGTGTAAGCTAGAGCTTTATTTTTTTTTTGCTTTCTCGAATGCTTAACAATTGTATTAAACAAGAATCAAACATTTCTGCTTACCGTGAAAACGGCAGTCTTTGTACCCGATTCTGTCGACTGGAAAGAAAATTAATTGTGGATCATTCCTTTGCAACTAAAATGTACGAAAATGACACAGATGCTAACTCGGAAGAAAGGCGACACGGGAACACAATTATTTTGTTGTTGTTCAATGTTTCTCTTGTTTCTAGTTTTAATAGATTCTGCCATGTATGTGCTCAGAGAGATTGTCAAAGCATTTCACGAGTGACGTAGGGACACACTACGCTATAACAACAGTTAATCATAACGTATCTATTCACGAGGGGCAAAGTGACGAAGACGCATTACTAGTAGCTCGTGTGCTGTGCGATATCAGTGCACCTTGAAGGACACACGAATATTCAAATTTATGAAGCCTTCCACTATATGGCATCCCTCATGATTGTACCAGTGGTTTGGCACATAAAACCCCAGATATTTGTTATTATTATTATTATTATTATTATTATTATTATTATTATTATTATTATTATTATTATTATTATTATTATTATTATTATTATTATTATTATTATTATTATTATTTCGTTATGTAAGAGTTATAAATTCAGTGATTATGGTGTTTTTTTATATCACGGTCAATTTTTTGCTCACAATAACCGTACTGTCACGCGAGGCCTTCATTCTCTCGAGAATGCAGTTCTCCTACAGCTTTCCAGAAATTGTACACCGCAATATGTGTTCCTCAACTTGAATATGCTTCCGTGGTCAGACGTTGCATGACAAATCTGGCTTTGACGATATTTAGTGAGTTTAGAAATAATTCATAAGCATTTACAACCATTCTTTTGCTAGAAACTACTCTAGACCTCGTTATGACATTGCCAGATTATTATCATTGGCATCTCTTCCCCACCGACGTAATCGTGCTGACCTCTTATTTGTTTGAAAACTAGTTCACGGTACGATATCCTGCCCTTTGTTGCTGTGATGTCTAAGTTTTCAGGTTGCGCGTAAGTTACCCAGAGATAATTGACCATTTTATGTAACTGTCAACTTCTTTCTACACTCAACCGTTCAGAGAATACACAGTCTGTAATCTTAATTTCATGATCTTGATGTTTTTCGCAATCCATAAAGATTGTTTTTATATATTCTGTGCAGTGTCTTAGGATAATTTTTTTTTTGGTAGAGATTCTTCCTTTTTCCGATGTTCAAAAAGCCTTCCTCATGCTTCTGTGTATTCTCCTTTATTTCACACTGCCATT